GATATACTCGTATGTCCATGTAAGTAATGAGGAATTTAACCCATAATGTCTGTTAATACCAAATTTGATGGAAATTTGTTGATTGTGTTGACGGAAACTAAAATATACAAAAAAATGTAAATGTCCTTCCAAAGCATTTTTTGTGTTATTATTGCCTTTTTTGGGTACGAGATAACAGATAAACATATAAACCCCCCAATACTGTTAAAACACTATGTTCTTCGCAAAATATTTTTTCAGTACTGGGGATCGAACCCACACCCTGTCCTCGGCCCAATCAAAGAAGGGGTGAGGTACCTCAGACCCACCGGGTCCTCCACCCGTGGGTCCCGTACTCCACCCGTGTGTCCCCCACCGGGTCCTCCACCCAGGGGTGACCTCAGACCCACCTACAACACTTCACACACACGTAAAGCATAAAACAACGTAGTTCGTTCCATCTGGGAGCACTGCGACACATAATCTATCACAGATAAATGCATACATACACGTGTTTTTTATCTGTTTATTTATCTGTGAGAACTATACATTTGAATGTAAATTTATTAGATGTTGGTCTTATATTTAATATATTGTCAAATCCCAAAAGTGAAACAATGAAACGTATTTGCGGCCTTGTTCAAATAAACAAACAGTCATTCCTGGTTTAATAAATCTATATAATTTTAAGGATTCGTATTTCGTAAGTTGTTGTGATCTGTATAAGTTACGATGGGGTTGGCGTATCTTCATAGATAAAAACCCCATAAAAATAAAGATTATAAAAAAATACTACATTTAAAATAAAATAAAAATATATATATTAATTTGTACTTCAACCGTGTGTAATGTTTACACGCACTCTTTTTTTTATTTGATGGATCATTTTGTCTACGGATCTTTTTTGGCTACGGCTCGTCGTAGTAGGCTATGCGGACCGGACCACGATGATTGTCAAGTATTTAATCGCTGGCTAACATGACAGCTGTGCGCGTGTAGACTGTGTACTGGGTGGGTCGGTGTCGCAGTGCTCCCAGACGGAACAAACTACGTTGTTTTCTGTGAAGTGTTTTAGGTGGGTCTGAGGTCACCCCTGGGTGGAGGACCCGGTGGGGGCAATGCTCACTTACCAAATAAAAAATTCTTGCAAATATCCCTTTATAAAGGGCCGCTCTTGTCGTTAAAGCTTTGATTTTTAAATTAAGCATTATTTGTACTGTAGAGAAATAAAAATACGCCAAATCAAGATTCAGACCCTTAAGTTTTCTTAAAATAAACGGCCACCGGTACATTATCTATAAAAAGACAAATTCATGTCTGTTGTATGAGAACCCCACTTAAATATTATTCTGTTTTTTAGTATTGATTGTTATAGCGGCAATAGAAATGCATTCATCATCTGTGAAAATTTCAACTGTCTAACTACCACGGTTCACGAGATACCTGACGACAGACGGACAAACAAACAGACAACGGAGTCTTTATAATAGGTTCCCGTTTTACCCTTAGAAAAAAACATAACTAATTTATAAGTAACTTTTTCTGATCTCTATTGGCCATTAATTTATCAATAAAGTATAACGGAGTCCAATCTGTTATTAAACCTCTTTTAAACTTTTCCATTAGGAAACAATCCCTCGAAAACAGATTAATGGGAGTGCGTTGTAAAAAAGCAATGAAAAGCTTACTTAAAATAATTAAAAGTAGAAATATTATTCTGGACCATATATTTTCATTTACACTTTGAATGCTCTTTCTATTTTATAACTATTCCCTTTTAAATAACTGTACCAAAAACATGGAAAAAAATATTTTCAATATTGGAGTTCGAATAGAATAGAACTCATTTATTCAAGACATCACCCAACATTTAACTGTGGTTGGGCCACGCAACAGTTCCCTGTTGCATTATATATTAAGGTGCTGTATGCAGTAAAAATAGGTTATTTATATATTAATAGGTATCTTCTTATTATTATTTCGAAAATATGCAGGATTCATCACGATTTTTCCTGCAGCACTTAAAATTAGATATAGTTAACAATTTCATTGGTGCCAGCACTGGAAATAAAAGTGAGCGGCCGGACACTGAGTCGTAACCTCACTAGAGCTAATTAAATATCTTTCGTATTCATACAATGTAAAGTTTCATTATCCGTTGGGGAACAATACGTAGGTACATAAATAGCCAATAACACACATGCCAAATTTCGTTATCTCCCTAATTAAGAATGTCCATAGTTGCGCAATAAGTAAAGACACATCAATCACCACGTTAAATAAAACACTTTTTTTTATATAAGAAGGTAGCTAACGAGATGGCGGTTCCCCTGATGTTAATCGATAACCGCCGCCCGTAGACATTTGTAACACCCATACGGTTACGGACGCGTTGCCAACTTTTAACAAATTGAGCCCCGGCTACCTCACTCACCCGACGTAACGCAGAAGTGTAACGCTTCCACTTCACACCGGTCTTCTGTGAGGTCATGGTACTCCCCTGGACGGATCTGCCTATTTGTAGAGGTACTATACAACCACAGTGAAGGCCGTTCCGTGGGCCCTACCATACATTTATGGATTTCTTCACAAAACTTACGATGATCTCTACAAAGTGTTAGAACAATTAAGGGAAGCAAAGCATCTTTTATACACACAAAACACAAACTAAGAGCTAAAGAATAACTCGACAATCCATCTAGCGATCCCCTCATTAAGTTCAACAGGACTTAATCAGCGTGTTGAAAGTTAGCGCCAAGTTTTCGGGGAGACCCCCGCTAAGTTTCGTCTCAAAGGTCCCATGACCCCAACGGGCGCGATCCATTGTATACGGAAACACCCGCGCTTACAACAAGCTCGGCTACTAATCAGCAAACTTTTCATTCGATTTGGCAAAGGCAAATGGCTAAAAATGGTTAGAAAAGCAACTGCTCGATTTAATTTTAGATATATACCTAATGGATGTTTGCGATAAATCGATTGAGGATGTATATATTTTTAAATATTGTTTCCTCCACTACCTCGAGGATCCAGTAAATAATAAACAGGTCATTCATTAACACGGTAAAATAGAAATAGAATGTTCACGAAAGCTAACAAAACATATTTAAAAATTTATTGTTCTTGAAGATTTCAAGTTGGTCCTGTTGTAAAACATTCTAAATTTCTTGCCTTTGGAACTGCCATCTCTCTAATATCAACCGGCAATACCTAAATAATAACATTCGATGATCTCATAACATTTAAGTCTTCGATAAGTATTATGGGTAAATTTAAAAATCGCTTGAACATACAGATAAAGAATATGAATCGTCTTCACAATATTCTCAATGCCAGTCCGTAATTGCCGAGCCCACGAAGTTATCGGATCTTTGAAGCATACACACATATTTGCGTGGTTGTTGAGGGGGAAAACACAAAACGAAGAATAAGAGTTCAGTTTAGATGCCAGAAAGCAATTTTGTTACGTTGGATACGAATAGTATAAATCAAAAGGAATGCATAATGATGGAGAGGCACGCAAATTTACTTTGAATCGACCGAGAGGCGTTTATGTACATACATACAAGCCGTGGCGTAGTGATTTCCTGTGTAAACAAGAATACTACATGTTGATAAATAAAAACATTTTTGACGGCAGGCCGTGAGTGCTGCAAAAGATTCAAATCGCTGGAAATTTTGCATTAAATTGATTGCGACCAATCGATTCGATTAGGGCCGCATTTTTTTCAATACATTAATAAAAAAAACTGTATGAATAATACCGATACTATTCAACCTCCTCTATTAATGCCCTTCGTTTTGGTTTCTTGGCGTTAATTTCATTACTAAGTTTTTGTGTGAACAAATATTACCTAATTAATTATTGACACAACGACACAAGTGAGGGATTACTGTTTTGTCAGTCGACACTATTTTAGAATTAGCATGCAACAAAGAAATAACAGTCAAAATTTGCTAATCGTCGTTTCTAATTTCAATTTATAAAAAAGACGAACCATATTTTTTTCAAGATTGCCTCTACATAATTCTCATTATATCTTCTAGGTTGCCTCTTCATAAAGTAATGGCCCATAAAATACCCAACAACATTCCTTCCAGCATCGTCCATGACCCAGTTGACAAAGCTTTTCCAGATTTTATTGCTGACTTTTTCAATTATATCGCTAAGTCATATTGTCATAAAACAGTTTTTCCATCCAAAAAGTAGATACCATAAATAGGAAATTGAATTTTTTTAAGTGTTTAAATTTTTTATTTCAACTTAATATCAACAGAGTAAGTGTTTTAACTGATGCTAAAGTTAGAACCACCATCCATAGACACTTGCAGCACCAGTGAGTGTAGGCCTCCGGCTACCTCACTCACCAGAAAATCTAAAAAAAAATACGTTTCACTTAAGAAATGTATAATTATTGTTATTTCAACATGATAGCACAAAAATAAATCTTATAAGCCGCAACTTAGGTACCTATGTAGTTTTACGCAATGAATATTTTATTATAGCCAACGTTTTTCTTATACAAATAAAATTCTTATAGATGGCGCTCTTATGAAATATTTGTCAACTGGAGGCCTTGCAACGAGGTTAGGCCCTCTCCTTTTCAGTGGCAGATGTATCAATTTCTCTTGACGACAGATGTCGCTGTGAAAAAATAAAAATATATCAGCTAAGAAAAAATTGAAAATTAATATTATATACCATTATTAACACTGTTCATTTAGGTATAACATTTGGATGTTTAGCCAAAAATATAAAAATCCTTTGAAACTAATTATATGCAAGGATCTTCAAATTCTTCAATGCGCTTCCTTTCATTCATTGATCATTCATTGAAACCCAATATTGACGTCATTGTGACGTCTATGCTAAGTTTCAATTTCCATTCACTTAAGTTTTCCTTAGTTTTTCAGTATTTTCAGTTTTATTTTGTTAAAATAGATGACTATGGTAAAACAAAATATCTCATAAAAATGAGAAAAGGTTGTATAATTATAATACGCGCATAATCCTTTTAAAAATGGACGAGGCTTGTGAATACGAAAGCGAAATACCAATTTGGCAGGAGCCCCGATGCGAACCACTTGGGGCACCGAAAGAGAACCTGTGCGATGAAACAACACCAGAACAAATTTCCGGCGATCGAATACATGCACTAGAAGAGGAGCAAGAGATTTTATCATCGTCTGTTTTTTCTCTTACGTCGCACTTAGCTCAGGTCGAATTTCGCTTGCGACAAATCCTAAAAGCGCCACCCGAGGAAAAGGATGCTATGCTTAAAGAGCTCGAAGAGTTCACCTCTCGTGGTGTTCCAGAATCACGGACAGCGCCGCAGGGTAGCACAGGTGAGACTGTATGCAATGAGTGTGTTGAATTAGAGAGGAAAATGAGGAGACAACGCGCGAGGCAATCTCACTTCGTTGAAAGACTCAAGTCACAATTGAAGGAGCTGGAGCGCTTTGCGGCAGACCCAAAATCCGAGTCAGGAGACAGTACACATAGGACATTAATAGAACATTTGAGAAGTGAAATTGACAGAAGTCTAGAAGAAGGATGTCATCAGCCTTTAAGCACTGAAGAACTTCGACATCAGATCAACTGTGCGGTGCGACAATATGCTGACAGGCAGTTGTCAAAGGAAGAAATTGTTGGTAAATTACAGACCCACATAGAAGATATGCAAAAGTTCATAAAATTAATAAAAAATGAGGATTTCAAAAGCAATGGCAAAACAAAACCAGAACCAAAGAAACTAGGGAAACCAGAGAATTTCGATAAAAACTTTACTCGCAGTAAAGTGAATGATGAGCTAAAGGCGGAAACTATAAATCTGATGAGAAAAGCTTCAACATTAATACAAATATTTACGGTGTCCCAGTTTGGTTGCTCTCCAAATGGTAGCAAAAAGTATGACAAAAAATCTTCACCAGTTGTGACACACTGGGGCAACCTAAGAGCCAAATTGGAGATGTCAATTGATGCTGTATTACATTTAGTATCACGTGACAGACAATCAAGCTCTATCATTGACAGTTACGATAGCGACTCTGAAGAGGGAGCTGTTGTCATTAATGATGCTCCTCTGACCACAGCTGTCCGGAGACATTTAGCTATTAATTTACGTGATTTACTTCAGCATGGTCTAGTTGGCCTGGAGTCTACTTCCTTAGTGCCATTAATAGGTTGCTTCCCAATACGCAGGTCTTCCATGTCACACTCGATACATATTTGGGAGCTTATATTACGCTATTATGAACTGAATGATGGAGACAGATTTAACTCTACTCCTGCTAGAAAACTAAGCCAGAGCTTTAACCTAGATATAGTAGGAGGAACAGCCATCACAAATAAGCAAAGTTTGTTAAGTACTATTGGAAGTATACTTGCTTCACATATGCCTTATAAAAGGAGTTATGATGCTCACTTTAAGGCATTTGTTTGCGCCGCATTAAATGCCCACAAGCTTGTAATTTGGCTTAATATTATGTTGAAATGCAGATCTCTGATTGACGCTTATTATTCCTCAACCAGCTATGTTGTTAACACGGGTTTCCAAGACACACTGCAGAGTTTGGACCGTCTCACTCCATACAATTTCGACTTACCGGTGGATCTAGCTGTGAAACAATTTCAAAATATCAAAGATGTATTCATGTAATTCTTAAGAGCACACTTTTTTACATAACCTTTACTTGCCATCCACTTTATCCAAGCATTTGTAATCTGTAGATCTGTAATTGATTATTCTAGTCCACTTTACTATAAGGTTTTAATGTACATTATTTAGACCATTTTTAGTTCTTTTAAATATTATAGTTATAAGCCATTATGTGAAATATGTGTATATGGATATTTTACAGTTTTAATTATTTAAAACATAATTGTTTCATCCCGCTGTATAGTTTTATAAATTTATCAGTGGATGATTTATTTGCATATTGTTACATCATTTTAATGTTGTATTTTCATTGGCCTAATTAGATATGGCCGATAGTTAATTTATAGAAAACTATGTTTCTACAATATTTCAACTCACCACATTTATTATTTAGCTACTGTTAATTAATTTCTATGTTATAAATGATATTTCAATTTTTATTTGGTAATTATTTAATAGAAAATTTGAGATCTGTTATGAGTATTACTTTTATTAAGCAATGTAACATTAAAAGATATTCCGGGTCACAAAAACCAAAGAATTTATCAATGTACTGTATTATAGATTTAAATATCACTATTCCTAATATATTGTAGTTGAAGCATGTTTGTGTTTTATTACAATACTTTAATTTGTCTCCTAAAAATGAAAACGAGTAAAGCAGTCCTTTTTTTACATTTGTAATGTATCTGACTATAAATCTTATCTGTGATGTATATTCTCGGTTAATCCCGAACCTACAGCAAACTACATGGAAACCCAAAAAATTTATCTACACACCCAAGGCTAGCAAGTCAACAATACAAATATGCAAATGATTTCTTTGAAATTCTATAAAAAAGATGAGTTTCCGAATAGCACAATATAAAACTAAAAATGGTAACTTTAGCATAAGCCCTAAAAATGTCACTGGTACTTTTTACGATTTTTAAAAAGTCCTTACTGTGAAATATCATTTTTAACGGAAAACAGTTAATTTTGAATGTAGTCAAAATAATGAATACTGATGATTCATCTATATGAACTTTTGGCTAAAGAAACGAAATGACAATTCACATAATTAATAACACTGTTCAAGCAGGGATATCAATAAAATTAAACAGTATAATATGAATGTTAATTAAATGTGTTTAATATATAGTCAAACAAAAATATCAGCAGCCAGGCTTCGAATCTGTCTTTCGGTTAACATATCTAATAAAATCGCATTAATTTTTAGCTCCAGTGCAGGCTAGCACTTAAATAAAATGTGTATATCATAAAAAAAGGTGTTTGTAGTTATAATACTTTTATTATTTCAACAAACATTTGGAACATAAACATTGATGGACAGACCAATATAAGAAAAACTCTTTACATTCATTCTTGGATAAATGCAGAAGACATTTTTCTTTTGTCAAAAAATAACTCATAAATAACATTAAATAACCTAATAAGTATCTGCACTAGCAACAACAGTTTCAGATTTTATTTTGTATTGAATCAAAATACATTTCGTATTTTGTAGAGAAACTATTTCATAGGGTATGTGGAATACAAGTGGGATTTTTTTTTTGTACTTCAATCGTTACTTTGATACATTCTTACAGTAAAATTACAAAAAGTAGGAATATTTCCACATTTTTTTAAGCAAAAGTAATAAATAAATCTGCCAAAGACAAACGAAACTACCATAATATAATATCCCACTTTTAGAATTATATTTGTAGAAAAGCAGTCATTAACATTTTTTTGTATTTTGGCTTAATTGTCTTAAATTTACATAACACACAACATATTTTCACAAAGGGTTTTTTATTGTTTGCCTCTGTTGTACTCTCCCTAGATTTCGCTAAATATATATCAGCAGTTCCATTGAACTTTTCAGCATTGTAACATTTCTATCACAAGGGCCACAGGTTACAATCCCAATATTACGCACATAACTTTCACAAGATGAACACAGCTGTTGTCGCCAGAGCTTCAAGTTTGGTCCCGTGTTTACTTGGGTCCAAGCATATCTTCGGGACGGACCCACTTGTCGAATTGCTCCGCTGTGAGCATGCCAAGCTTAATGGCAGTGTCCTTCAGTGTGGCACCCTCTTTGTGCGCAGTCTTTGCAATTGTTGCAGCCTGGAAACCATATGCGAAGTTATTAGATGTTCATGGATTGAATCGCTTATTGCAACATGTATGAGGAAAAATACGGGTGTTGCAAATGTCCATGGGCGGCGGTTATTACTTAACATCAGGTAACATCAGCTCGATTGCCATTTTGTCACATAAAAAAAACAAACAAGTCCTTACCTTATCATAACCAATGTGCGGGTTGAGAGCGGTGACAAGCATGAGTGACTCGTGCATGATCTTCGCGATCCTCTCCTCGTTGGCCTTAATGCCTACTGCACAGTTCTTGTTGAAGGCGGTGCAACCGTCACCTGGAACGGAAGGAGAATTAAGTCACCAGTCTCCAAAGTCAAATATTTTATTCTATCGCTACTGAAGATGGTTATATTTTAAACGAAAATTATTTAAATTTTAAACGAAAATTTATTCGGCGATTTTCGAATTTCACTAGGAAGAATGTTCCAAAGTGAGCAGCTGTAACAGCAAAGGATTTAGAGAGAAAGCCTGTATGATGAGAAGGAATAAATATAGTAAGTTTATCGTCAGATTGAAGATTGCAGCTATGAGAGGTACCCAATTACTAAAATTTTGATTTCAGATACGCTGGGCACTATAAAGCGTACAGAGAATTTGAAAATTTCTTCATTGGGACATATTCAACCAAATTAGTTGTCATCAATATGGGGAAATATTTATCACCTCTTTAATTCTCTCTATATTTACTTCATATTAAATATTTATTATTCTTTCCTTCTTAGGACAATATTCCATTTTTACAACTATGTAGATAGAGAGAACAATAAACAACAGTACTGACTGCTGATGTTGTTGCTCCCCATTCCTTCTTAGCAAAATACTATCCACACCAACAATCAGAGTACCCGAACTTCCAATCAGAGATGAACCCGAGACAGTCAAGCCAAAATAATGTATTTACTTATAAAAATAATTGTATGTTCAATATGCTTTTCAATGATCAAATACCAATACAACCTTTACTTTGTTTGGAACCAGATACTGTTATATAAACATATTATGTCCCAAACATTAATTTATTATTTACATTGCCAACAAGTCGAAAAGAACTTGGGGCAGTTTTCATTGGATTGATGGGAGGGTTGTTTTTCTCACCGATGAGTCGTATGGACCTCAGCACGTTCGCCACCATCATTGGCTTGAAGACGTTGAGCTCGAAGTGGCCGTTTGAGCCGCCGATTGTGCACGCCACGTGGTTGCCCATCACTTGGGCGGCGATCATAGTGAGCGCCTCGCATTGGGTGGGGTTAACCTTGCCTGCAAAGAAACAGTTTATTAATAGGCTGCTAACGACTCGATTGGCGTAGTGGATGGCGGACCTGTCTCTTACGTCAAGGGTACGGGTTCGATCCCCAACATTAGAAAAGTATTGTGTGATGAACATAGTGTTTTTCTAGTGTCTGGGTGTTAATGAATTCCATAACATGTATTTATTTTTGTGACGTTTCCTCACCAATAGTCTTCCATGACCACATCATGAAACGGAATTTAAAAATCTAACTAAACGCGATAAAATCTGTAAAACAATAATTATTGTTTAGCAACATTGCCCTTACGTTAGGATAACACTATCCTGTGTTGGGACATTTTACAAACATAAATTTCACGTGGACAAAAAACCAGATGCGAAACAACTAAACATATGTGGGTCACACAAATAGTTGTCCCGTGTGGGGAATCGAACCCACGACCCCCGACGCCGGAGTCATCAATTCGGAGCCATATTATACATGCCGTTAATTTTACGCCGTAACACTTTCGCGATGTCGTCCGATAATCACCGGGCATGATGGAGGATCCGGGTTCGTTCTCGGGCAGCAGCAGCTCGGCGAGGCCGCAGCGGGGTCCCGACGCGAGCAGCCTGATGTCGTTCGCGATCTTCATCAGGGAGACGGCGATGGTGTTCAGCGCGCCGGAGACCTCTACCATCGCGTCGTGGCAGGCGAGACCCTCGAACTTGTTCGGCGCCGTCTCGAACGGGATGCCTGAATGGTAACCGCTGTTATTGTTCGTATTTTGTTTCAATGCGAGAAGTTTGGCCGTGGTAGGGCCGCGCAACGGACTCCGGTGTTGCACGAATGGGCAACGTCCGGGTAAGTACAACGACCTCACAGAGGGGCGGCATGCTGGGGAAGTGTTATACTTCTGCGTTTAGTCTGGTGAGTGGGGTATTAAAAGGTCGCATCTGCAACCCGACCCTAGTCAAATTTTTATAATTATTTATTTGAATTTATTCCGAATTGACAGTGACATCAGCACGGCAAGATCTCTGTCCGATCCGTGATGATGAAGTCGGTAAAGTATTCATATAATAATGTTCAGAAGTTTAATGTTAATAATAAACTGCGATAAAATCTGTAAATTGAGTTATATTTGAACCCTCTCAAAGGCGTTTGTTAAAGCAGTGTGCCGCTTAAATATTCTGGGAGAGGAGCTAGAGTTTGGAAGAGGGGATAGTTTTAAGGGGATGTTAGAATCTGCAGGAATAGTTAGTTCGTGAAATGGGTTAGTGTCGTGTTGTGTGTAGGGTTAAAAGGGGAGGGGAGAGTTTAGACTCTGAGGGGAGTTTAGCTTCGGGCGAAAAAGAAATTACAATCCGAGTGGAGGGTATTATTGGTTAGTATGTAGTTATAGGTTAGAATCTAGAGGAGGTTTAGAGTCTGCGAGAGATGTTGGAGTTTTAAGGGAGGTTAAAGTGTAGGAGAAGAATTATAGGCTGGGGCGGTTAAAGGTTTGAAGTTGTATTCATATGTTAGAATCTAGGGGGAGGGGTTTAGAGTCTGGGAGAGAGGTTAGAGTTTGGGGGGAGCTTAAAATCTGGGAGAAGAATATAGGCTGGGGGGTTATAGCTCAAAAGTTGTAGGTATATGTTAGAATTTAGGGAAGAGGTTTGAAGTCTGGGGGCGAGGTTAGAGTTTGGGGGAGGTTTAGAGGTTAGACGTTTAGAGTCTGGGAGAGAGGCTAGGGCCTTGGGGAAGGCTTTGATTCGGTGGGAGAGTTAGGATTCCGGTGTACTCAGAGTGAGAGCGGACGAACCGGGAGCCAACTGCCACCCTGGAAATCCGCCGCCGGAGACCAGGGCGCAGGAGGCTTGCCTACGCGCGCAACCTTCCCCCCTGATAGTGAGACCCTGAGCGGCAGACATGGGGGTGTCTGACGCTCAATATGGGGTCCGTGACGTGTGCTGTGCCAATTGCACCGGCACAGCACAGCACGATGCAGTAGAGGAGGCCTAAAATGGCCACGTGTAAGATTGCGTCGGGGCCGTTTCCCGCCGCGAAGGAGAAAAAGGAAAAAAAAGCAAAAAAAGGGTGTCGGGACCGGTGAGCGCGGCGATCTCGGCGGCGCACTTCTCCGCGAAGCCGACGCGCGTGTTGAGGCCGGTGCCGACGGCGGTGCCGCCCAGCGCCAGGTAGTGCAGCCGCGGCAGCGTGGCGCACACGCGCTCCACGCCGAACGTCAGCTGCGCCGCGTACGCGCTGAACTCCTGCCCCAGCGTCAGCGGCACCGCGTCCATCAGGTGCGTGCGCCCGATCTTTATTATCTTCTCGAACTCCTGCGGCGGTAATGTGAGTAAACTGAGTAAAGTTAGTTAAGTGACAGAATATAAATGTGCCAATGCCTGTCCAGAGGTTGTATTCAGTTTGGTGGAAATCTATAGAGATGTATTTCCTTTGGCGCAAAGAAAAATGATAAGAGTGATTTTTTTTAGATGCGCGATAACTAAGAGCGAAACTGACTTCATAGTGATACCATGGCAACAAACCAATAACATCTTTTTGATATCTAAAAATACAAGTTATTTAATTAAGCCATCGTAAGGTTACAGCCTATACATGTCTTACTGCTAGGCCAAGTCCTCCTCTGCACGGGGGTATCAGGGAATAGACCACCACGTGACCCCACCGCTGATTGGTAGACTTCACATATCTCAGAATTTTCTTTTGTTATCATTTCGAAAGTATGCAGTTTTCCTCCAACGTTGAGCAGGCGATAAGTAAGCACTTAAAATTAACAATTTCATTGGTGACAGCACCGGGAATAGAAATCAGACTGCTCGTGCAAATTGAATTAAAGGCGAACTCCTGAAGGAATGCGATGAGATCAAAATGGAAATTGGTCATAGATCTAGCTATTTCATAGATTGGTCAATTGTAATTAGGACTCAACCACATTCCAAAGGGAAATTTATTTATTCGATAAATTACTTTAAAAAATTAAAGGATTACATAGGACAAACTTAATGCCTTTTGGCACTCTCTCATAGTCAACCCAGGGCATTGTGAGAAATCATGTTAGGTGCAATTATTACATTAAGTTATTTATATGTATTGCCTTTATGCAATGTATACCACACATATATAAATTGCACTCAAAATGAAAACTGGTCATAGATTGTGTCGAGCTTCTGGACAAATGTGATTGGCTTTCTTTTTTATATGAGAATGTGGCAAACGAGCCGACGGAACACCTGATGTTAAGTGATAACCGCCGCCCATTGTTATTTGCAACACCCGTAGGGTTGCAGATGCGTTGCCACCTTTTAATATAGTAGGCCCCGGCTACCTCACTAATCAGACAAAACACAGAAGTACAGCACGACAACATAACGACGGTCTTGCGCGAGGCCTTCCCCGGACCGACCTGCCCATTCGTGCAACGGCGAGAAACACCATGTTTTCGTGCAATGGCTTTTTGACGCTTTGACGACCCGATTGGCGTAGTGGGTAGTGTACCTGTCAGAGGGTGTGGGTTCGATCTCCACTACTGGAAAAATATTGTGCGATCAACATTTTTTTCTAGTGTTTGGGTGTTTTATATATGTATAACATGTATTTATTTACAAAAGAAAAGCACGTTTAAGTATGTTTATCAGTTATCTAGTACCCATAGTACAAGCATTGCTTAGTTTGGGACCGGAGAACTATGATGTGTCCTAAATATTTATTTATCTTGTATTAACTGATGTTTTTGCTTTCAGTCCCGAGACTATTAAAGCTTCATCGGACGCAGTCGGACGCAATTTATTTATCTATAAGACTCCGCCAGCGCCGGGCATCGAACCGACACCGGCTGGCGCCGGCCACCTTGGACTTGGCCTGCATGGTGTCGCGCAGCGCCACCAGGCCCGGCATCAGCCTGTCGCGCAGCTCCATCGCGACCGCCACGTGCATCGCGGTGGGGTACGTGTCGTTCGAGCTCTGCGACTTGTTCACGTGGTCGTTCGGGTGCACGGGATCCTTGCTGCCGAGCTTGCCGCCCAGGATCTGGATGGCGCGGTTCGCGATCACCTGTTAGAGTGGAGTAAAGCGTCAGCCTATACATGTCCCACCGCTGCGCAGGGGGTATCGGGGTTCCCACCGAAGATTGGGGAGTTCACAAATAAAAAAAAAAAGCAATGGCAATGACATCTCCCGTTCGAATTGTCGTTGTAGAACGATATTCGAAATTGTTTGTATGCTGGAAAGGATATAACAATAAATGGCGCCAAGCATTGCTTCAAATGCTAAGAAACAATGTAGAAAAGGACATTAACATTTTCGTCGGTGTGGCAATCAGCCGTTTAGCTCAGTGGCTAGAGCGTCAGGCCGCGAATGCCGAAGACGTGGGTTCGATTCCCACAGCGGGGACAATCTTTTCGCACTTTTTCTACATATTTTAAGACTTCACATATCTTCGAAATATTTCGTTAAAGTTTATAGTTAAGTTCAGTGAGCCGGTGGTATTTATTTGACGTTCATTAAGAGCTTGAAACAAGACTATGTTGAATGAAGAAACTTTGACTTTGAAAAGCGTCCATGGAACCGCAAAGTGGGGAATGGGAAGAGCAAATACCTCGTTGGTGTTCATGTTGCTCTGCGTGCCGGAGCCGGTCTGCCATATGACGAGGGGAAAGTGACCCTCGCGGTAGAGTTTGCCGGAGATGACGTCGTCGGCCGCCTGCATTATGGCCTCGGCTGAAAGTGGAAAGTGCCGCATATACATATGTCATCAGGTGATCATATTATACATTTAAGAAATGCTGAAAAGAGGACTTTACGGCGCAAATGGCATTAAGAACGATTAAATTAATTTTCATTGTACACATAGGTAGATCTATTTTTCCTTTGATTGGTTAACTATTGTTAAAAGTAAGTTATTCAAGGTCTGCTGACAGAGAACTCTGTTTAGGTTTAAATCTCTCGCCTTTGTAAAGATTTATTAATCCCTAATTTGTAACTGTATTTTTTTTTTGTGTACAATAAAGAATAAAGAACAGACTGCGGTAGGGTCACGCAACAATCCTCTGTTGCACGAATGGGCAGGTCCGTGTAAGTACCACGGTCTCACAGACGACCGGGATGAAGTGGAAGTGTTATACTTCTGAGTTTCGTCTGGTAAGGTAGCTGGGGCCCACTTTATTATAAGGTGGCAACGCATCTGTAACCCTACAGGTGTTGCAGATGTCAATGGGCGTCGGTTATCGCTTAACATCCTGTAACCTTCTCACAAAAAAAAAACTGTAGGAGACGCCGTAGATGATAGATGGTATTTAAGCGTTGAAGGGAGAGAAGCGCGTAGATGTATAGATGCGAACGTAAGGCGTATAATAAGCGTTAATCGTGGAAGGTGGAAATCGGCGATCTCGCCACCCATCTGGATTTTGAATGAATCATTTGGACTTCTATAACTCATTTTCATTATTGTTGGACGGTGTTTCACTATCATTCACACGGAATATGTAAAGGCTGTATTGGTTACAAAACATTATACAAATGCTACTTTAAATTTAAGAAGTTACATAATGCCTCATAACACCATATAACTTCTTAAATCAAATAAATGTGTTTGTGAACATTAGATTTATAGATTTAAGTAGTTGCACAATATGACATTGTCCAACAAACCCAACCCTTACGGCATGCTATGAAAAACTAACTACATTTACTCGCTGTATATCTGAACCTTCAAACGAGAATTATATAACATAATATTGATACATGTTACATTGATATTTAGTTTATAGATGCGACTTTAAATTATTCGAATATTACTACAAGGTGTGTCGATATAACCGACACTTTTAATCGTTAATGTTAGAAAAAAATAGACAAAAATAAAATAAACTATGATCAGATTTATAAGAGAAAGACTTCACAAAAGTTACTGTTCTCTCTTACAATACAGTCAGTGCATATAAGTAAATTAACTACCTCCTATTCATGCTAAATATGTAAGGAAAAGAATGAAGTGAAACTCACCGATTTTCTTATCGAGTCCGAATTCCATGTTGACCTTGGCCGCGGCTTTCTTCAAAATTCCCATAGCAATTATTACGGGATACTGCGGTAGGGACAAAATAAATCCGTTAATTGCAAAGTAAGAAACTGTCGTATCATTCATGTCTTGAGAGTAGTTCATGTTCCTCGAATATGAATTCATATTTATACAAAACAAACGATGAAAGATTAGGTACCCTTTCCATGACTGATAAACGCTTTTTATAACACAAGCACTTCGCCCGCTACATCGTCCGCGAAAATTGTGATATAGCCCGTCTAATTTGCATGATATAAATATAATTTACATACCAAAACCTTCTCCAAACATGCGGCATATTATGTTATAAGTATTGCTCCGATCGGTTTAGTAGTTTTCGCAGTATGACTTAAATTTTTAAGCTTAAATCTTTAAAACTACGCGACGTATCTTGATGTGGTTTCTTTTACTAGATAGAGTGATTCAAGAGGAAGGTTTATATATAATTCATACATATCTTTCATTCATAATATAGTAGAGAAACACTGATAATTTTAGAGGTTTCCAATGCGATATTGAAAACAAATATTAGGCGTTGCACCCGTGCGAATCCGGGGCCTTTCGCTAGTAATATATAAAAATAAATGAGTACAAACACATTTTAATTATCCTACATTTTCATTGATATTTGTGTCTGGACGCTCAGTGTCATATATCTAGAGCACATTCGAATAATGGTCGATGATCGTGGAATACCTGACCAGAATGTAGGTTTATTCAAGGTCAAATTTTCCACAGTCAGTCACGCGCAAACGTTTGGCATTGACCCAGGTGGTCAAGGTAGTGAACAATAAGGCTAGGTACCGTTTTCATTCTTCAAGTCCCTTTTGAAGTGTGTAACTTGATCGACAGCGAAGAATAAATTGAGGATTGGGCAATAAGCACAAATACAATGATTGCGAAATTTTAGTATATAGTTCACTAACCTTATACCTTATTCGACATGTACATTGACAGGATTTCTTTTACTTGTTCTATATTTATATTACCTCAAAAAAAGGATTACAAAGGGTGGACTTGACGCCTTTTGGCATTCTCTCCCAGTCAACCCGGGGCGTGCTGAGAAATCGTGTTTAATGACTTTCGGAGCGGATCATCATCATCATCATCATCATTTCAGCCTGTTTGAGTCCACTGCTGAACATAGGCCTCCCCCATAGACTGCCACGAAGTACGATCCTAAGCCACCTGCATCCATCGACTTCCCGCACATTTGCACAGGTCGTCACTCCATCTAGTGGGGGGTAGCCCCTGCGATGGCCAGTACGAGGCTGCCACTCGAGAACCTTTCTTACCCAACGGTTATTCGACAAAAATCAGTATTTCAACTAGATAGAGTAAACGGCCTAGAAGTCGACCCGATGAATCGGTGGCGCGGTTGCCAAGCTGTTCGATTCGGCGTCGGGGGTCGTGGGTTCTATTCTCCCACGGGACAAATATTTGTGTGACCCAAAGTAATTGTTCCGGATCTTAGTGTTTCTTTCGCGAGGAGGATTGACGTCAGACAGGCGGCTGGTCGTAAAAAATCAGGCCAAAACGATGCAGGTGCCTCAGTCTGCGGGTGAGGCCCATGTTCCGCAGTGGACTCAAGCAGGCTGAAATGATGATGATGATGAATGAAGTCACATCACTCACCGGCATGCGCTCTTCGATGCCACCGATGGGGAAATTCATCACCGACCTCACAGTCTGCGCCCCGTACAGCTTGTCGTCGGGAACGTCGAGTTCGCCCATAGTGTCCTTCTCCTTCCTCTGTAACAACATTGTTAAACGTAAAACGCTTAACTGATTCAAAAGTATTTAAAAAAAAGTAAAGTATGTGTCTATGTCTGTCCATGTATGAACTACGGGTGGATAAATTCTTTTTCCTTCGTTCCTGTAATTTAAATCAACTTCAAACCGGCCACCGCACATAGACTAGATTTCTGTTAGTACTTTTTATACACAGGAAATCCGGAGAGCGAGATGATTTACAACATGGATTTAAATCGTTTCGCCCCCCTGGAAATTTCATATTTCTGAGAACTTTGAAATTCTGGAACTTGAAACATATTTAACTATAGCGTTATGTTTTTTTAGTGTTATTCACTATTCTAAATAAGAAGCACAACGAACGGAAAATCCTACTAATTTACTACAAAATCCCACACTACATGACACAGGAACGTGTTGTTATTGAGAACACTTAGCAACATACAAATTATAATAACAAACGATAGACAATGACAATATCGTTCAACCTAATTTCAGTTCGTTGCTTTGTTTCGTTACAAAAATAATAACCGATTTAAAATTATTGACAGCAAAAAACTCAAGAAAAACTATAGGGAAAATATTAGATAAATTTAGTATTACTATAGTATTTTGGCGATACACAACACTGTTTGAAACACCTATTTAAAAGGATTAAGGATTGTGTGGGTGGAAGAAACACGGATAAAAACATTATGTTCAATCTATAAAGTGCTAGCCACGCGAGGAGCACTGGTAAAGCAAGCGGGTAATGTGATGTCGCAATGATATTCATAGCAAGCACAATGTTGCGAGTCGATGTTATGTTAACAACTGAAACATGGTCAGTTTTCACTTGGCTTTTTTTAATGTGAAAATTGTACAATCGAGCAGGCGGTTCACCTGATGTTAAATACCGTCGCCCATGAATGTCTACAACACAAGGCTTGTAGATGCGTTGTCAACGTTTAAAAAAGCGGGCCCCGGTCACGTCACCTACCAGACGAAACGCAGAAGCATAACACTTTCAATTTAAGCCTTTTTCGAAACGAATTCTCTTGATGGCGTGATTGAAATATGAATCTCTGTTCTCTTATAATCGAGCATCGGACTGTCTGCTAATATTTACAATGCCTAGTTATATTTCAAATACTAATGTGTTGACTGTTGTCACCCTTTCGCACACCATGGGAGCAAACTTTCGCGTTTCGTCTGGTGAGCGAGGTGGCCGGAGCCTAATTTTCAAAAGGTTGTCAACGCATCTATCTGTAACCCTCGGGTGTGGCAGATGTCCATGGGCGGCGGTATTCACTTAAGATCAGGTGAACCGTCTGCTCGTTTGGCAACTTTTCGTAAACTACACAAAGAAGCTACCGATAGCGGGATACAGGTAAGGTGATTTTAAATCCTACCGAAGCATACCTAGTTTGCGATATACACAATGGAAAATTCGCTAACGGCCGGTTTTAATATTCTATCTACAGATCTGTTTGGTTACCAGCGACATTAGTCCCATAATACTTACGTCAATATTCTATCTCCAGTAGCCCAATCTATCCGTATTTATAATATTGAAATCGGCCGTAATTCACCAACATCGTGCCATGACGGCAACATAATACATAAAGTAACAGCCCGCCGCCGACGTTACAAAGCAAACTCGTTAACCGTAAGCCTATTACGGGCGGGAAAGTCCGAAATTGTGTTGCGCCAGCGTTCGGCTCAAACTGACAAAGGTAAAAAGAATAAGTGTCCCTTAAGCCGTAAGCTCTCCAGTTTCCCGTTAAACACGAAAATGGATGGCCACGTCGAAGTCCCGTCTAACTTGAATTATCACGCACCTTACAATAACCTTACTTCGCACTTCAGATTGTATTGCGTCGTTTTTTTTAAATATAAAAAAAAATTCCGGAAAGATTCTACACAACAAAACGTAGTCCCAAAGTTATCAGTAAGTGTGGTAGGGCCACGCAGTAGCCTCGGCTGTTGCACGAATGAGCAGGCTCGTCCGGGTAAGTACCACGACCTCAGAGAAGACCGGCGCCAAGTGGAAGTATAATAAATACTTTCGCGTTTCGTCTGGCGAGTGAGGTAGCTGGAGCCCAATTTTCAAAAGGTTGTCAACGCATCTGCAACCTTCGGGTGAAGCATATGTTCATGGGCGGCGGATTCACTTAACATCCGGTGAGCCGTTTCACATTAAAAAAAGTCATAGTTTATACTATCGGTACTAGATAACTAATAAGAACACAAACAATATTTTGTAAATTATTTTAGAATTATATTTTAGTGGTAGTCTGCTCTCAGGATGAAATATTAAATCGTCATCGGCCGCTAAGCTTTTACGGTGGTAGGGCCACGCAGCAGTCTCGGCTGTTGCACGAACGGGCAGGCCCGTCCGGGTAAGTACCACGACCTCACAGAAGACCAGCGTAAAGTGGAAGTATAATACTTTCGCGTTTCGTCTGGTGAGTGAGGTGGCCGGAGCCCAATTTTCAAAAGGTGTGGCAGATGTCAATGGGCGGCGGTATTCACTTAACATCAGATGAACCGTCTGCGCGTTTGACAACTTATTCGCATAAAAAAAAAAAGCTTATTTAGTAGTGTCCGTGCGGGAAAACGGATAACACAGGTTCGAATCCGGCAGCGCCGAAAGTTTTTCTTCATTTATCTACAAAGATTCTCAATTTAATATTTTGTAAATACGTACATATAATTCGATAACAAAACTACAGGAAGGCTACTGTTCCGGTTCAGGCTATTAGTCCTTGTGCATTTCATGTGAATAAACAGTATCTGCAAAGCGTAGTATTTTTTTAAGTAACATAGGTACGATACGTCTAATTTCACACAGCTGGGAAAGGACCTCAATGTGTCAAAAGCATTCGCGTGCACTACATACATACAAAAAAGCTTTGCACACCCATGTCATCTCTTACAAACATGCCCCAGAACATTGTACGTTCCGGGAAGTACCACGACCACACAGAAGACCGGCGTGACGTGGAAGTTTTATACTTCTGCTTTTCGTCTGGCGAGTGAGGTAGCCGGGGCACACTTTATTAAAAGGTGGCAACGCATCTGCAACCCTACGGGTGTTGCAAATGCCCATGGGCGACGGTTATCACTGAACATCAGGTGAACCGCCAGCTCGTTTGCTTCGTTCGCTGCGTTTCCTTGCTGAATAGTTATGGTTAACGTTTGAACAAAAAAGGACCAGCCCTCTTAACATCCGTGCCGATAAGTCTATGACTTAAATCTTCGATGTACGGGAGTTTAGTGTCCTACCACAGAGCTCATTTTTAAACACGATGTATCGAAGTGAAGTGTGAGTAAAACGTAGCTTTTAATAGTAGATTGTGAGAACTAGCATCTGTTATCAGTAATGGCAACTACAATTGATGTATAAATCATGCCCATTGTTTCCTATCTTCCATGTGACCTAAATATATGCGGTTTGAGTCGTTAACTCGACACACTATAACAGGAAATAGTTTAATTCAAACTGTGTTTTTTTTGTTATTAATTTAATTTTTCATTTTCAGTAATAATTACGACTTTCAAAATTTAACGCAGAATATGTACCTACACGGACTACATTTTACTTTCATATCTTTGATTTATAACGATATCTTGTTACTTTTAATTTCACTTAAGTATCGAACACATCCTGTCTTTAGATTTTTGCATTTTTGTAGATGAAAAACTTTTGGTGCTGCGGAAATCGAGCCTACATCTTTGAGTTTCGCGGCAAGACGCTTTACCGACTAACCTAAGCGGCCGATGACCTCACGGCGCGAAAATCTCGATATATATCTACGTTCGTTCTATTGCATTTATTGCCAATGCTTTCCGCCGCATCCTTTACAGCATACAACAGCTTACAAATAACAATAAATATTTTTAATTTACAATTTAGTTTTATTTTAAGTTCTATTCTGCACTCAAGATAAAACTAAATTGTAAATTACACAGCAATCATTATTTAATACGATTATGTTTTTATTTGTGCAACTGCTCAGGCGTTCCCGCCGTCCGGACCGCTTGCACATCCGGTGTTGCTATTACATTTTTGATATCACTAATACATACTTTTTTTTAATTACCGTATCCGCCGCCACAGATCATGTGGCCGTAGTGAATTCGCAAGTCATGTGATTCGTAAAGCGTTAGCGTGTCGAATTCTTTTGGTATGTGCAAGTTACCTGAATCGTTTGGGGTCAAAAGCGACATAAGAATCTTTGAATGAATTAATTACACATATAGCAAAAAAAAGCTCCGCATCTTTTGATTACTACATCGTCAACTTATAATACACTATTTAATTGCTCAAATGTAAAAATACAACGTAGTAGTTAACTTAATTACAAATATTTCGAAATAACACATAAATACAGTATGGCAGCAGAGTTAAAACACATTCATAGAATAGTATTTAACAATACCTATGGTTCTCTTACTATTATGCAATTTATATTACAGCAAACTTAAGAAGCCGTGTAAATATTGTATCATTTGTTTACGCTGCTGATAACCCTCCGAGAACAATAACGACACAGTTCAAAAATAACAAAACCCGTATCAGATATAATTACCTATGTCTTAATATTACGAAACTTTATACCAGTTTATACTCATTATTCGAACAAGTCGTATGATCTACAGTCTCAAGGTATAGCAGCATGAGGCAATATTTTAGACATGAAAACATTCGCTTACCATTTTAACCGGTTTGCCCTCCTGATTCATACACACAGTGCACGCCATTATTGCTGGACTTGTTAAATAATATATTATTGTAAATTAAGAAATACTCCTTGAAAATTTAGGTTAACGTGCGAAAAGAATTCCACAACCGAAACGTCAATCTTGCATCAGACGGACAGGTTATACGTCAAATTCGAAAAAGAAAAAAACGTAAAAAAGCGGCGACGATTACATCAGTGGCCAGTGCTATTATTATTTTTTAATTGGCAACAAGCTTATGGCTCCCGCGTTTTATAAAGTAATTTGACAGATAAACGCAATTCGACGACGCGACGTAGCGATCCGACGGAGACTAAAGGAACCAGTCCGCGATCACTTCCCCTCCACAAAATTACGGGCATAGTCGACGGGCGAGCGGTTTTATAACGCGTTTATCATTCGTTGTGCGGCCGAACACCAAAATCGGCGCGCGAGAACTGTTTCCGAATGCGGTTTTAGAAACCGTGATAAGGCGATAACAATAACATTGTTTACTTAAATATTTCCATTTAATTACCTCAACTTTAAATAAAAGTAACCCGCCTGGAAAAAGCCTACTTTTGATAATCGACTAAAAACTGTTTACATTCATAATGGCATTCAATTTGAAGCCTTATTTTTTGATTTAATATCTTATCCTTTAAACGAGCAATTCTTGTATATATATATATATATATATAATCGGAATCTCGGAAACGGCTCCAGCGATTTTCATGAAATTTAGTATGTGCATAGATTCGGGGGCGAAAAATCGATCTAGCTAGGTTTGAGAAAATGTCCTTTTATCCCTGTTTTCAGGGAATGAAAAATATAATTCGAATATGACGGTAAATTTCGCCGCAAGAGAAAATGTCATAATAGCTCGGTCGGTAATCGGGCGGCACCAAAACAGACGGCCGTGGTTCGCGTCACGATCATTTACACACTTATTTTTTTTTACTTATTTTTCGATTCCAGATCATTGCTTTCTTTAGCTTTGTTCATTTGTTATTTTGTTATTTTTTTCCCTTTTTTTTAAAGTTCTTTCTTTTGTGAAAAACATCAGTTCATATTTTCTTATTATTACGTCGGTAAGATCGAAAAATATTATGCATATTTCATTACTCAGTAATTTGTATCTAAATGTAATTTCCAAAATACACGATTTACCAAAAAAAAAAACACCTCCGGGTACTGTTATTAAATAAAATCAATAATTAAAAATTTTGATAGACATTATTAAAGTATTAAAAAATTGTTGTGTGTTTTAACAGAATAAATGCTGCATTATTAATGTATGTAAGTGACTAATGACTAGGTATCATGCAAATCCACTAACTTTTCCAAGATATTTGCTACCTAGCTACCTAGGTCTTAAAAAGTTTCTTTTTTTTTTTTGTAGTTGTTTTGCTAAACAATATTTAGTGCGGTAGTAAGACGATAGGTAGGTAATGAGACTTGAAGAAATGGAACCGTAAATTATGATTTTCCATATCATATGTGGTGAAGAAATAATTACTATTATTTCTTATTATTTCTTCTATATCTTATTATACATAATAATATTATGAACCCCACAACTCTATAACATAATAAAAGACTATGCCTATATATTTTTTTTATTTTAACACCTAGGCTATAGGTAGCATTCCATTTACCTCTGTGTAAAGGCATGTGTGGAATGGCTGACTAAACAATGTTTGAATTACGTTTTTAATATCACTTGATTTCTGCAAGTCTCCTGACAATGAATTTTGAATAAAAAAAAACTAAAAGAATATTTTTTTGTTAATTTCAAATATGTTAATCTTGGACTTGTATTAAAAGTTGGTATTTAATGTATTGATGAGATGTTCGAGATATATGAATATTAGATAATTGGGTGTTCCAGATTATTCGGACTAGAATTTCTGTATTATTTTGCATTGTAATATGGAGTCAATCTTAAATATATTTAATTTTTCAATCTGATCCTTAATAGACACAGATTAAAATATGGTTCAATTAAATTGTGTAAACAGTTAATAGAACAACAGAACAGTTACAGACTTTGTGTTAAAAACAACTTATAACCATTTTGCACTATTAACAACAAACTATTACTATACAAATTTTTTCAAGAATTGAGTTGCTAATGCCATGTTTCTTGGGATTACTTAAACTATATGATGAATTTGAAACTCATAAAAAATCCACTTTTAGAGGTGGGTCTAATTTTGACCGTTAAAAAAATAATAAGGATTTGCTTGCTAACTGAAATATTTATTATAGATGTGAATTGTTGATTGAAGAGTGCTGATGGAAATTCAGATACAGATTTTACAAATTTATCATGGAAAACTCATGAATGCTTGTGAATGTGTCCATAGAATAGAAATCTCTAAAAGCCAACAATCGTTTCAGAATAATATTAGATTGATTTAATGACAGAGTGATCAACCATAATTACTTTATTAATCACAAATATTTATTTATACTTGGGGATGCCGAGTGATCGAAATTGAACCATAATTATTTTAAATAATAAGTTTGAACAATATTAATCTATTCTCAAATACAATACACAATAAACAAAAGAGTATAATGTTTGTGTGTGTGTCAAATACATGGTAGTGTAAGTAATATTTTCTATATTGATTTAGTGTATATTTTTGCATAGTTAAAAAAAATTTTAGGATCCTGCACTCCTGCTCTATATAACTGTGGAAACTTTCATACTCCTCCGCCCGCGCATTTTTCGTAAAAAGGGGTACAAAGTTCTTTCTTTACGTATTAATAGATAGATACTTCCAAACTAACAAAAAAAAAATAATTGGCTGAAGTGTAATGAATTCAGTGTTAACTAAAAACAATTTATTACAGTTGTCAGTGTCAAGATATAAATGAAAGATTAAAGAAAGAATATGGATTTTACTAATAGTCAGTGAAATAAATAATACATAAAATTATTTTAATTAAAAAATATTACCCTGTTGTAGAAAGACCGGTACCTTGCCGGTATTTATTAACCTTTATATTAAACAATACACGCACGATTTGAAGATGGATTATTAAGTTCTGGTTTACAATTAAAATCAAACATTTATCTTTAATTAAAATTTAGTACTTTGGCTACTCTTTAAAACAAAAATAAAACAAGTTATGCAACTTACGGCATTGATATTTGTAGTAGAAAAATCATTTTTATCCAGGAGACGGACGGCGCATCGAAGGTTCTTTGAAGAATTTGCCAAAGCAGAAGATAATTTAAACATGGACATAGCCATGATTTGGTAAATATTTAATTGAAATTAAAATATTGAGTCAACGTTTCGTAATTATTAAAAAATCTGTGACATATCACACGTCTGTTGCGCGCGGGGGGGGGGGGGGGGGGGGGGGGGCGGTGTGGGAATGTTGCCAGTATTTATTCAACAAACATTTAAAAAGCAAAGCAAGGATATATACATAAATACGTATAAAGGATATATTCAAGAATATGTGTAAATTTAAGATTTAACTATAAAGTACAAAAAAGCTATATAGATTAGTAACTACGAATATCTCATTAACTTAGAATTCAGTAATAATAATTATGATAAATGAAATATATATGTAAACATACAACATTCAATGAAATTGTAATAATAAATTTATATTTATCATCATTTAATAAATAGAAAATTCATATATATCTGGTAGTATGTAATAATTACTTCATTCAATAATGGAATGAGCAAATATTTGAATAAAAATACTTTTATATTTATAATTTACGTTTTAATATTGATTTAGATTATATCGTAGTTTTCCATTATTAAACTTCTTGCTTTTTGGAAACTTTAAAGCATATTGATATCAGCGGGGCTTCTAGTACTGATTAAAAAACAATTAATACTAAAACAATTCATGTAGCTAAAAAATAAATATATAATGTCATTTTAAAAATTTGTGCTCTTTGAAATGTAAATACAAATAATAAGAAGACTTAAAACGCTAAAGTGGAAGACCTAACTATTATATTGTGCCATACTTTTCACAATTATAAATATTATAGGTATTTTTGCCTTGTAAGTGTGCCAGTAACCTTTGTTTGTAAAAATACATCAAATGCAATTGATAACGGTTATAACTTGGTATTTACAATCTTTATTGATCTAATATTTGCAAGATTAAATCTATCTAAAATTACATATTATCTAATAAACCTAATCCACGCGGCATGGTGCCAAGAACACGAGCTGCATTTCCTCGCTTAATATTATGTTATGCTTAACCTTTGAGCCAGAAAAGAACCAGCTCTCTTGTCACCAGTCACGGCGTTAAGCCTAGGACATAAACTTTAAAAAATTTGATGTGCCGGGACCCCATGGACCTAAAGTTTCAACAGCAAATGACACAAATACATAATCTAAACATAAAGACTCATATTTGCGCCATTTACTTACTTCAGCTGCCTCCGATGCCGCCCCGGCCCTGACTGAAGTACCCCTTATAGGTATTATAATAGAACACTCTTAAGACCATTGTTTATTTTAAATAAATTGCAATTTTAAAGTGGACTGTATTTTTATTAAAATTGAATAATTGAATTGTACGTACAAGGATGTAGAGAAAAACATGGAGGAGAGAAAAAAAAGTTGCCAGTATAGCACAATTATTTTACAACGCTGTGCTGACAACATAAGCAAATTATTCAAATTTATGTTTTAATTATTAAAAAGTCTACAACGTAATTATTTCAGAAGCTTATGTATTTTTAAATTGAAACACACAGAATTTTTCTGTGAACGAGTCTGAATGCTATATCAATAATTATGAACGTATTCTTCTAAAGTGCTGCCATCCGTGGCGGAATTGCAGACTTATTTACGACTCGGTTGCATTCGGAATTTCTCGGCTCAGTCACGCCTAGACTCGTTCGAAAAGCGAAACCGTATTCATTCCACGGCGATGTACGGACACTGATGCTCTTGTCGTGGACTCTTTGTGCAAACGGGACATTTTATTCATTAGAACGGGCTTAGCTTATTCGACAGTTTGTTAGGAATAAGTTGTGATAAAAACATTCGCTTGTGGTGTTGTGCTATCTTTAGAAATTATAGTGTAATAATTACTAAGAAAATATTGTGAAGTGCAATTTAGTGAAAAAAAACGTTTTTGTCAATTGTTCCTGGATACCAAAGGATTGTTCTTTGAGAGCTTAATATTACATAAGGTAAGTTTTAGTGTAACTAAACTACAACTTCTTCAGCAGTGCGTGGCGTTTGGAATGGCTTCCGTCTATCGAATCGCGTGCGCGATAATGGCTGACTTTCTTTTCCGTTCTCAGTTAAAGAAATAGGCCTAGATGGTGTCTAAACAATATAATTAACTTCTTTTTATCATGTTAGAGACAATGTGATGATAATTTTCATCTGTATTCGAGCGTAGGTTGCTAGATGAAGTCGAGTGGGTGGAGGTAGAGAATGCATGCAATCAAGACTAAACGACCGGTCGCACTCTTGCGGCGTAGTATTGAGCCGCCGACATTGGGGTTATTGAATCGGATTTATCGAGTTTTGAACAAGTTTCTGTCTATGGTGTATACCTGCCGTAATAATTCGTTCGTGCATTTTTCGTGTATTATTTTTCGTGGTGTGATTTTTATAAGTTCCAAATTGTTTATTAATATTAGAATTGTAAAATTAAATACGTAAGTGTTCGTTGCAGATGATTCTTACTTGATGTTTTGTAGGTTGCACAAGGTTTTGTTCGGTGACACAGTTGTGTTGCATCGCAAAGAGATCGATCGAGCCCCGACGGGCCTTAAAAACGTAATGTTTGTTGTTACAGGTCTCTACAGGAATACAACAGCGCTGCCACACATTATGAAAGTACGCTTTCATAAGCGCGTATAAATCAAGTAGACTGTCATATAGAAGCCCGTCCGATCTAATTCCGTCATGGCTATTCTGTAAGTATAGATTCGGTGTCGTCAATGTATTGAGTTCATTGCGATTGTTTAGTTTAATTTCTGTTCTTTTTTAATTTCCCGTTGCGCTACCACGTTTGCTCCCACGTATCGAACAGCATGCCAAGTTGTATGATTTTTGTTACTCTCCATTATGATGTTGAGGCTTTCGTCGGGTGTGTGAAATCATTCAGTGCACTGACCGCGTCGGGGCCGCCGATACCCGTCGCCCTTCCGCCGCACTTACTAACCTATTTTTTTTTGCTCGCGCTCATTTTCGTCCTCCTTGACGCGCGGTGACGCTGCGTCACGCTCTTAACGACCGTCTCATTAGGCGCGTACGCGTTGTGCGTATGCGCTCCGTTGGTTAGTACAGTCGCGCTATGGGGAGACGGTGATCGTGCGCCCCGCTCCCGTCCCGCGAACTCTCTCCGACACTCGTGGCACGTCACACGAGGCGGCGTCGCGGAGTCGTGTTGGTCGTGGTCGTGCGGTTAGGGGTTTAGGGGCGCGGTTGGCAGTGCGGCTGACGTGTGTCCGCGTTGCAGATGGGCGGGCGAGGAGCCGCGCGGACGGCGGCGGTAGGCGGGGGCGGGCCCGATGCGCCCGCGTCATGTGGCGCGTGCTCTTGGCCCTGGCGGCCGCCGGCGCCGCCGCGCGCGCCTCCCACGACGTCGTGCGCTCCTTCACCGACCCGCTCGCCGCCCCCGCGTCGCTCTTCAACCACCTCGTGGTCGACCGCAACACGGGCCGCGTGTACGTCGGCGCCGTGAACCGCATCTACCAGCTCTCGCCCGACCTGGAGGTGGCCCAGTCGATCGTCACCGGCCCGGTGAACGACTCGGCCCTATGCACCTTCGACTGCCCGCCGAACTTCGTCAAGAAGCCGACGGACAACGTTAACAAGGCGCTGGTGATAGACTACGCGACCAGCCGCCTAATCACGTGCGGCTCCGTGCTGCAGGGCCTCTGCTCTGTGCGCAACCTGAACAATATATCGCACGATGTGCGCGAGGTGCGCGAGCCGGTGGTGGCGAACAACGCGAGCGCCTCCACTGTCGCCTTCATCGCCCCCGGGCCGCCCAATCCGCCCATGACGCAGGTCATGTACGTCGGCGTCACGTTCACCGGCAACTCGCCGTACCGCTCCGAGGTGCCGACCGTCAGCAGCCGCTCGCTGGAGGACGACAGGCTCTTCATGATCGCGAGGACGGCGGTCACCACCGGCACCAGGATGTTCGTCAACTCCCTATCCAGAGAACGCTACCCTATAAACTACGTATACGGCTTCAGTTCCGAGGGGTTCAGTTATTTCTTGACCACCCAGCTGCGCGGCGTGGGCTCCGATACGTACTACAGCAAGCTGGTGCGCGTGTGCCACGACGATGAGAACTACTACTCCTACACGGAGATTCCGATGTCGTGCACCGGCGAGGGCGGCGGCAACTACGGCTACAACCTGGTGCAGGCGGCGTTCGTCGGGAAAGCGGGCTCCGTGCTATCGTCCGAGCTCGGGATAACCGCGCAGCACGACGTGCTGTTCGCTGCGTTCAGCCAGAGCGAGTCGATCAACACGAACACACCGTCGGACCTGTCCGCGCTGTGCGTCTACTCGCTAAAAGCGATCCGCCGCAAGTTCATGCAGAACATAAAGACCTGCTTCAGCGGCAACGGCTCCCGCGGCCTGGACTTCATCTCGCCCTCGCACGCGTGCATCGGAACGAAGCTGCAGTCGATCAGCGAGGACTTCTGCGGGCTGGACGTGAACACGCCCCTGGGCGGTGAGCAACCCGTGGAGGCGGTGCCGGTGGCGATCTTCAAGAAGAGGCTGACCGCTGTGGCGGCGACGGCCACCGGCGACTACACCGTGGTCTTCGCCGGCACCGCGGAGGGACACCTCAAGAAGATCGTCGTGGAGAGCGCAACCTCCGCGTTCGAGTACGGAGACATCGTGGTCGACGAGCGCTCCCCAGTGAACAAGGACCTGTTCTTCGACACCCAGTTGATGCATTTGTACGTGATGACCGAGCGTAAAGTGTCCAAAGTGAAAGTTCAAGAGTGTAGCGTTTACAAATCGTGTTTGACGTGCCTAGGCGCCAAGGACCCATACTGCGGCTGGTGCTCCTTGGAGAACAAGTGTAGCCTCCGTTCGGACTGTCAGGAGGCGGCCAAAGATCCCCTCTACTGGATCTCGTACCGCAGTGGACGTTGCACGACCATCACTCAGGCGTCACCGAATCAGTTACAACGAACGACCGCTAGGACCCTAGATTTACACATAGAAAACTTGCCAACGCTCAACGGGCAGTTCTTGTGCGCATTCACAGTTTTAGACCGTACGCTCATTACGAACGCGACTAGGAAGTCGCACGGCGTCAACTGTACCACACCGCGGACGGACACGCTGCCGCCCATACCGGCGGGCCAGCACCATTTCACGGCGAAACTGTCAGTGCGCACCACGCAGGGCCCCGATTTCGTGGCCACCAACTTCACCTTCTTCGACTGCAACACGTACAGCTCGTGCACGCAGTGCGTCAGTTCGTCCTTCCCTTGCGATTGGTGCGTGGACGGCCACCGTTGCACCCACGACACCGCGGAGAACTGTAGGAACGACATCTTGGTGACCGGCGTCAGTAGGATCGGCCCCAGCTATCGCTCGGGCCCAGGCTTCTGTCCCACGATCAACTCCACATCGGACGGCACGAACGAGATACTCGTTCCGTCCGGTGTGAAGAAAGCGATCAAGGTCAAAGTCCATATAATAGGCCAATTCATTGTCCAAACCCGCTTTGTTTGCCAGTTTAATATCGAGGGCCGCGTCACCCACGTTAACGCTCAGCTCCTAGCCGACACGATTTACTGCGAACCCGTCGAGTTCACCTACACGTCGCGCGCACCGAACATAACCGCCTCGTTCGCCGTGATATGGGGGGGCTCCAAACCTTTAGACAACCCAGACAACACCCACATACTTATATACCGTTGCAGCGACATGGCGGACAATTGTGGCATCTGTTTAGCGCTCCCCGAGAAGTTTGGATGCGGCTGGTGTCAGGGCTCTGATAGGTGCGAAGTACAAGAGCAGTGCGGCGCTCCCAGCGTGTGGTTGAATCGAACACAAACTTGCCCCAACCCGGAAATCCACTCCTTCCGACCACAACTGGGCCCGTGGGACGGTGGCACGAACATAACCATAGAAGGAATAAATCTGGGTCGCAACATATCCGATATCTACAACGGCGTCACCATAGCCGGTATTAAGTGTCAGCCAATAGTCGAATTGTACGTGAAGACTAGGCGGATCGTTTGCACGGTCGACGGGCCGGGCGAGGAGGTCCCGCGGGACGGGCCCGTCGTCGTCCGAGTTGCGGACTATCGCGGGGAATCGAAGCACCACTACGCCTTCGTGAATCCGAAAATCAACTCTATCCAACCGAAATACGGCCCACAGTCGGGCGGCACAAAACTGCGCATCACGGGCGAATATCTTAACGCCGGCAACAACATCCAGGCCTTCATTGACGATCTGCCCTGCGCAATTCTCTCTGTATCTCACGAGGAGGCGGTCTGCCGCACGAGCCACTCGTATCAACTTAAAATGGGCACGTTACGGATGCGGTTCGACACGGGAATGCGTACGCTGGAACGCGAGAAGTTCGAGTACATAGAGGACCCCGTCGTTGTGTCCGTAGAATCCGGTCCGCCGCTGGCGTCTCAGCGCAAACAACCGAAAGGAATCCCATCCGGGGGCATAAACATCAAAGTGATGGGCCGCAACTTCCACTCCATTCAGTTCCCGCAGATATACGTTTACCACGACAACCGGCCGTACATCGCTCCGTGCCACAGAGTAGATTTCCAGACGCATCTGATTTGCGAGTCGCCCGGCATCGAGAGCGCCGGGCTCAATCTAGACCCAGACAGGCCGTTGGAACTGGAGTACGGATTTAACATGGACGATGTGCAGAGCGTGCAAAACCTCACCAGCAAGACGGGCGAGGCGTTCCTGCTCTACCCCGACCCGATCTACGAGAAGTTCGACGAGGACGTCAAGTATTACAAGTCCGAGTATTTGACGATAAACGGCCAGAACTTGGACAGGGCCTGCACTGAGAGCGACGTGGAAGTGCGTATCGGCGAGAGCCTTTGCAACGTCACATCACTAGCACGTCACCAGCTGACGTGTCGGCCGCCGTCGCGTGACGAGTTGCCTGACGGCGTGGAATCGCCCGACGTCGTGGTCAAAGTGGGCCGAGCGCTCACGTACAAGATTGGCAGACTGTCGTATTCTTCCCAGACCGGCCTCCAGGCAGCCATCGGGAAACCAGTATTATTCGGCGTCAGCGCCAGCATAGTGATACTCATATTAGTATTTGTCGTGTTTCTAGTTATGTATAGGAGAAAGTCAACGGAGAACATTAGGGTACTGAAGAACATGCAGGAGCAAATGGATATTTTAGAGTTAAGGGTGGCGGCCGAGTGCAAGGAGGCGTTCGCCGAGCTTCAGACTGAGATGACCGATCTGACGGGTGACGTGACGGGCGGTATACCGTTCCTGGACTACCGCACCTACGCGATGAAGATACTGTTCCCGAACATCGATGATCACGCCGTCCTGCAATGGGAACGCCCAGAGCTTATTAGGAAAGAGAAGGGTCTGAAACTGTTCGGACAGTTAATTATGAACAAAACATTCCTATTATTATTTATTCGTACTTTAGAGAGCAATAGATATTTTTCAATGCGCGATCGTGTTAATGTAGCTTCCCTTATTATGGTAACATTACAAAGTAAGATGGAATATTGTACTGATGTGTTGAAGACGTTGCTAGCCGAGCTGATAGAGAAGTGCATGGAGGGCAAGAGTCATCCCAAGTTACTGTTAAGGCGCACGGAGAGCGTAGCGGAGAAAATGCTTAGCGCTTGGTTCACTTTCCTCCTGTATAAGTTTTTGCGCGAATGTGCCGGCGAACCGCTTTACCTCCTGTTCAGGTCGATGAAGGGCCAGGTAGATAAGGGGCCGGTGGACGCTATAACCTCCGAGGCGCGCTACTCGTTGAGCGAGGAGAAGCTTATAAGGCAGTCGATCGATTTCAAGCCAATGAGCGTGAGTGCGTCGATATCGCAGCAGACGATCTTCGTCAGCGGCTTAGAGGCGACCACGGAGAATGTACAGGTGAAGGTACTAGACTGCGACACGATCAGTCAGGTGAAGGAGAAGTGCCTCGACGCCATCTACCGAGCAACGCCGTACTCGCAGCGGCCGAGCCGTGACGAGCTGGACCTGGAGTGGCGCACGGGCGCCTGCGGTCGGCTCATCCTGTACGACGAGGACAGCACCACCAAGTGCGAGGGCGAGTGGCGCAAGCTGAACACCCTGAACCACTACCGCGTGCCCGACTGCGCGTGCTTATCCCTCGTCGCCAAACAGAGCTCCGTTTACAACCTGTCCAACATGGAGAAGAACGACAAGTCGCACACGTACGAAACGCTGAACCGCGGCAAATACGGCTCCGCGAGCCCACCGGCCAGCCCCCTTAAGTACGAGCACGGCGGCGGCTTCAAGTACTGGCACCTGGTGAGACACCACGACGGCGACGCCCACAAGGAAGGCGAGCGCGGCAACAAGATGGTCTCCGAGATCTACCTCACCCGCCTCCTCGCCACCAAGGGCACGCTGCAGAAGTTTGTCGACGACCTATTCGAGACCATCTTCAGCACCGCCCACCGCGGCTCCGCTCTGCCCCTCGCCATCAAGTACATGTTCGACTTCCTCGACGACCAGGCCCTCCAGCACGCGATCTCCGACCCGGAGGTAGTCCACACGTGGAAGAGCAACTCGCTCCCGCTCCGCTTCTGGGTGAACCTAATAAAGAACCCCAACTTCGTGTTCGACGTTCACAAATCGAACACCGTCGACTCGTGCCTGTCCGTCATCGCGCAGACCTTCATGGACTCGTGCTCCACCTCGGACCACATCCTCGGCAAGGACTCGCCCTCCTCGAAGCTCCTGTACGCGAAAGACATCCCCGTCTACAAGGAGTGGGTGGAGCGCTACTACGCGGACATCAAACTGATGCCCGCGATATCGGACCAGGACATGAACGCGATGCTCGCCGAAGAGTCCCGCCTCCACACTAAAGAGTTCAACACGAACTGCGCGCTCAACGAACTGTACGCTTACGCGGTGAAGTACAACGAACAGCTAATGGTCACCCTCGAGGAGGACGAGTTCTCCCAGAAGCAGCGGCTCGCGTACCGCCTGGAGCAAGTCCACGGCCTAATGGCGCACAACTACGACGTGTGAGCGAGCGTCCACCACGGGGCCCGCCCTGATACCCACCGCCCTGTACATACTGCCCCCCCTCACATATCTACGCTGGCAAACATTGTATATATTAGATAGTGTACAGTTCTTTAATATTTGTAATTTTTGTATAATTTCAGCGGTCCGATGATGTCGTTTCCTTTTTTAATTTTATATAATAATAATAACGATAATGATAATAATATGAACTTGTATTGGTTTTACACGACGAACCCGACCCCTCCGCGGTCGCGCCACAGTATTCATCGTAATAAAATTTATGTGTAATAATGTAAAACGATAAACCAAAAAAAAAAATGTGTATGTCTGTCTATGTGTGCTCGCGTCGTACGAGTTGATGTCGCGTCGAATCGGTGTAAACAGTAATAATGCGTGTGTCGCGTAACGAGCGGCGCGCTCGGGGCCCGCCCCGCAGCGCGTCCGCACTCGACTCATGTTGAACGAAAATGTAACCGTACAGAGTGAGCCGGTGAAACGATTCCATTAAATAAATATCGTCGAATGTAACCCGCGTGTGTTTCATTTTAACGCGGGGCGCAGCGCCATGGTTCACGCCCGACGTTAGCCCAACGCTTGGCAGCTGTCGGCAGGGAGCGCGGCGGCCGTCTCGCCCCGGTGTCCCACCCCCATCCCCTACCAGCGGTCTACAACTCACTAGTCGCCATTACCCCTACCACCCGCTCGCGCGAGCGCCGCGGCGAGACGGTCACCAACGGGCGGCCCTGCTTTTTCAGCCGCTACGCGAGGCTCGCGACGCGTTCGACTTTCGCGGTCGTGAACAACGTTTACTGCATACCCGCTTACGTGGTCTGGATGATGGCGCTGCGCCTCGTGCGGCCCCTGCTCGCGCCGCTGTACTGGCGGCTCGAGGGGATCATGTACCACTGGCTGCTCGCGATGGTGTCGCTGTGGGCGTGGACGGCCGGCTACGAGAGTGAGTATGCGGCGACCAATTTAACGGGACCTACGCTGCGACGACGGGCACTGCGTTGGAGCAATTTCCCATGAGCCTATTGGTGTCGGGCGCTCTGTCAATCCGAAAAATGCTTATTTAAGACTGACAACACACTGCGCCTTATCGAAAAGGGAAAGTTAAAACAAGTACAAATATTACGACTACATGAGCGATTGTCGCCCAGGACATAAAAAAGGCTTTTATGCAAGGTCACAATCCAAAAGACAACCACTATATGATGCATAGATAACACATTGAGACACTATAAAATTTCTACTATATTCCAAAAAAAAACTCATTAGGTCTAATATAGTACAATACGACAACTTGATATTATCGGTAAAAAAAAATTATAGGATATTATTTAGGCTTATAATATTTTCTTTGAAGCAGAGTTAGTTATTAGTTCCCCATACTTTGATGGTTGCTTGAACTCTTACCGGTCATTTGGAGGATCAACAATGCTTTAGAGGTTCTAAACGAAGTAAATCTCAAATGAATAATATATTCGTAAATGCAAGGTTGATTATGAATTTACTAATCTAAGCATCTTAATTTAAAATAGGAATGAATAAATTGTCGTGTAGGTACTTATACTACAACAGTTATAAGCCAAGCTTAGTCTTAATAAAGTAAAAATAAATTTAAATCACTTAATTAGAACAATGGTTGTAATTATCTTGATTAGGCAAAGTAATCGAAACATGAACTCGCAACCGTTAGGAAATATTCAATCTATTCTTAAGCAATTTATTCTTATTCGACTGTAAAAAAAAATATTAGCTATGCTTGGTAATAACTGTAATGGCAATGAATCTAAGAGACGAGAATTTCAATAATATAAACGGATTTATGACAGTCCGCTTCCAATCTTGCTCAAAAATAATGATTTAACAATACAAATATTAAGATCTTTTTAACATAACATTAGATACAAGTATTTACTTAAGTTGGTAAAATCGCCTAAGTGGAATATCGTCTTTTAAGTTTGAATTACTAATTGTCCTTAAAAAAGTAATGAATTTCCGTGTAATCGACAACTAAGATGTACTAAATGTACTCGATGTTACTACAATATGATGAAAACGAAATAGAGAACTATACATAAATTATATGTATACTGACAAGTCAAAATAATATTATATATATAGAAACTTTATACGACCATCTTTTCGTAAAAAGTTAATATAAAAAAATAACGAGCCTGCTGCTGAACTGTATTACATTTTGTTATCTACAATGTTTAATTAAAAAAAGAAATAGTAAAAATAATAAGATGAATCCTTTGAATCTAAACATATTGCAAAGACAATATCAGAGTAAAATAGAAGTATGCTGTATCCGGCACGTGACGTCTTGGAGTCTACTGAGCAAGGTAAGTCCACATTTAACTACTCTATCGTCGTAGTACAAAACGGCCTTGAATAACGAAATCACCTTGCACAATAATGCAACTATGTTCTAAAATATGTGTTGTTTGCAATCATTTTTTGGTATGACCGTTCACTTCAATCCGTTACACAAGCTGTTCTATTTAATATTTTGTGTTCATTATACATAACGTCTTTTTTTAAGGTTTGAATATTTTTAGACGAATAATAACCTAGTCTTACCTCTTGTTTACGGCACCTTTTTCACTCGGTGTTGTACGTATGTAATTCAATTGAAAGTTTTATTGATCTTGTAATAAAGTAGGGTAATAATTTTAAAATGAAATCTCATTAATTAAGACAGTGAAACATGAAGGAAGAAAAAGAACTACGTTACTCAATATTAAGGAAGAAAAAAATTTACTAGTAGCTACTAACCAAATATTATTTCAAGTTAGTTAACGTTATTTAATTTCGATTCATTATAAACGCATAAAACCTGTGATTTATGAAATAGGCATTTATGAAATGCTAATACTCTGAGCTACTTTAGAGTAATTAATTGAAGATGCCTAATGAAACATAATTTTAACTAGACGCGTGCATTAATCTGATTTAAACGTTTTTTTAAGCCGTGTCGACATGTCCGTAATTATTTTGAACATTACTTCGAAATAATAGACACATTAATTCAACATATAGACCTAAAACGGTAATATTTATCGGGCTGTGCGAAATACTCTCAAATCAATTTTGTCCGCCACAAAAAACTGTTTTGGACCAGCGTTTTAAAACCCTATCCTACTTTTAAGAAAAGTTTTATTGCTTGTGTTATGAAGCATGCAAGTTTATTATACATATCTGGATATATTTGAGCCAAAAAATATTTGAATAACTAATTTTTTAATAGGTACTCTCATCTGGATTATTTTAGAAGAATAAAATTTCTAGTGGACTCTAAACTGTCATGTAATCGTTAGGAATTGGTGGTCATTAATGCTTTATATAATTTCGAACTAAATATGATGGACCGAAGCTAGATTTATATTATTTCGCGTAATTTAAAATTAGCAAAGCGATATCTTTCCTCAAATGCACAAGTACCATGATCACATAGCCGATTAGAAAATTAATCCATAACAACATTTTTAGTAACCAGAAATAAAACCGACTTCAAATATGTCACAAAACATTTTCTTTATGGTTTTAAAGAGTTCCCTGGCATCCATGGTCCATTGACAATGAAAATAATATGGGACTTAAACCGAACCCAATTCAAACAGAATTTTTAAAATCGGTTCATAAATGACGAAGTACTCATGTAACAAACAAAATGACATACAACCGACTTGAGAACTTTCTTTTTGCAGTCGGTTGATAAATGAGCTAGCTATATTCAAAGACCAACACGTTTGGCTGAAGCGATACTTCGTTATACTTTTATCTGTTAAAAGATTCCGTTTACTCGCTTGATATCGAACTTGAGTCATCGGGTGACGCTAACCTTAGTCAGTTCGTTATAATGCACAATAAAATTACGCAGAAACTTGACGCGACATGTTAGCATTTAGCGTTTGGGTATTTAAAAGAATAAGAGATTGGCATACCTATCCGTACCGTACTATCCTACCTATATTATATATTATATACAGCGTGTCGTTACCATCGCGACAATAAATGAACACACATATAGGGGATAAGTTTTTAAAGTTGTATTAAACATTTAAATTCTTTAAATATCAATATTTACAGATTTATTAAATTTTCCAAAACAAAGAATTTTAGAACACCCTTACCTATAAAAGCGTAACGTAAAGTTCATTTGTCTCACAAAATTATGAATGGGTTGAATTTTGAAAGGACAAAAAATTTAATAGATCTTGTAATACGTTTGTGCGCGAGTTTTAGGAGTTACAAATTTTTTTTTTTTTTAAATGTTTGTTTGAACAATTTTTTTTTAATTAAAACGTTAATATATTTTTTTATGATCCCCTATTGGCAAGTAGCGTTAGACGTGTGTTCATTTATTGTCGCGATGGTAACGACACGCTGTATATATGATCGTCATTATAGTTATATAGTTTCTACTTTCTTGAATAAAGATGTTGAGAATTGTGGTGATCATAGTTATATGTATAATTGAATGAAGATAAGGAAGAAGTAATATAATAAATCGAATTTCTTATGATTAGTATATTGCGTATTCTTTTATATACAATCTTCGTCAAAGGGTCTCCGACATTTAATACGACATTTATAACTACGCCGTAATAAAAAACGACACAACAGGTAATTCTGTATGGTCAGTTAAAGTTAATCAATAATGCATGTTCAATGTAACATATAGAGATTTATTCTACGTTTGGTGACTTAAATAATTATGAAAACTTTATGGGCCACCGATTATTGCTGTTAAATGTCTCGTTTAAAAATTGTGAGCCAAAGTTACTAGAAATAAACAAATTTGAAATATTTCTTTATTATTTTGTTAAGTTTCACATTCGACATTTCGGTTAATACAAAAAGACATTATATTTAAAAATAGCTCCAAACGTCGCTAAGTAATAATGTACGCGGCCTTTGGACAAGTCCGAATGTTAGTTCAATGCTGTCAATCCGACAGAGATTTCTCGCGCGGCACGCGCAATCGATTCCCGGCGCGGTGCACGGGCGTCGATGGAAATGCGACGGAACTGTATCGGACGTCGGGTCGCGCGTTACCGGCGCGGGCCGTATTGACCTTATGCGGCTGCGTAGTCTATGCCGGAGGACGGTCGATGACCGGCCCCCCTCCCCCCGCGCGACCGAGCTAGGAATGCCTGCCCCCCGCGCCCCGCTAGCCTGTGCGTCCGATCGTCGTCACGCCGTCCGGATTTGCACGTGGGCCGCCGAGTCCGTCCGGAACCGTCCGGAGTCCGGACATTAATTTCTCTCGCGCATTAATCGAATTCGTAGGAGCGGTCCGGACGCGCGCGAAGTCTGTCACTGGTTGGCGCGGCTGAGCGGGATTTTTCGCCGGTGACTCACTCAAAGCGCTGCGCACGATATTCGCAGTTTCGTTACGCTAACGAACGCGATGCCTCCGCGGGGCTATTTCTGGACCGCGAGTCGTTTTCGTTTCGTTTAATCTTTGTCGCTCGGATCAATTTCTAGATTTGGCGTTAACTTTTCGGCGTTTCAAAATAGTTTTAATTATAAAGATAATTATAATTGTATTCATTAAAAGAATATTTTTCCTAATGCGGGACTGCACCCTAGCAAATAATGTTTGTACAAAGAAATTGACCACGAATGACGCTAAGATTTCGATAGTTTTTTTAATATAAGTCGAATAATTAAATTCAAAATTTGAGTTATAATTACTGACAAACTCAATGATGTTTGAGTAGAGTAAACCTACGTAATCGTTAATTTTAAAATACCGAAGCGCGTTGAACTTTGTATGAATTGAATCTTGAAAGCTGTACCTTCCGACTTTTCTAGAGTTAATAAATTCTAGAAAAAGTCTAGAAAACGTCGTACAGGTTGCAGTTGCGTTTCCAACTGCATAAGGGTATGCCCGTTTTACCTCACTGTAGACGACGAGAGGCTAAAGTTTAATAGGCTTTCACCTTCTCTGGTCTCCAGGGTAGTCTGCCCAATGGTACAACATCGTAAGCCGCTGTGTGGTCCCACCGCAGTTACGTTACTTATTCGCTATATCAATAAATATGTGGGATACTACTGCCCGTTTCATTGCAAGGGATAAATCTCGTCTCCGGTGCTCTGACGATAAGGCCCCAAATGCCCGGCCCGCCAATTACGCTCGCCCAGAAGTCGCGAGAGGATGAAAACTTTCGCCCTCTACGGTCCTACAGTATATGAAACGACGCTAACGAGTCTTCGACGTATGTTGTATATAAATCTCGTCTCCGGTGCTCTGACGATAAGGCCCCAAATGCCCGGCCCGCCAAGGGTTGTTGATGCGTTGCCATCTTTTCATACGCTCGCCCGAAAAGTTCACGCCGGGCCGCCGCGGGGAACTCATTTCAAGGAATTCCGCCCTTAATGCATAGTTGCGCGGTAAGAAAGATATTCGCAACAAATAAGGGCGCGTTGAGCTCCACAACTATAGTGTTAATCAAAGCGAACTATTTTAAGCTCTTATTGAACGTCAGTGGACCACTAAGCACCGGCGGACAACTCTGCGGTCTTGTTATCTCTTTTTTTTATTACATAATTATGTGAACAAATTTATTAAAGTGTAAAACCAATAGCAGCTAGCGAACCTTCCAGTGCAGATCAAGAGTCATTTGAACACATTCTTGCCCTCATTGTATTCTTCGATCATAGGCCCTTTCCGTTAAGGTAGCTTTTACAAAACGTTTGAACACCGCAACTATTGCGCCGTCCGTTGCGGCGTTCGTTCAGCTTGCTTCGCGACGACCCATTATTATAATGTACATGATATATCGATACCAGCGATTCGGAACAATAGATCTATCCGAAACAATCGACGCGCGCCTCATTACCCGGATTTCAATTCGGCTCGCGTACAAGGCTCGAGAATTAACATACACGGATTCCAACACACATCCTCCGTCCGCCGCGGGCGGGATGCAAATGGCGTTCTTCCTGTGGCTCTTTTTGTTTTTTTTCATCGCGCTAGTTACCCGGGAACCGATGCGTGGGTTTCGACCTGGATAACCATGGGCTCGTAGCCCGGAATCACCCCCGCGTGTTGATGGTTCGTAACACTTTTTAAAGGAGTTCCCGATTCGGTTGTATGTTTTATTTTTGAATGTGTTTCTTACGCCAGAACTCTGACGTTGGGGAATCGATTTTAAAAATTCATTTTTTTATGTTAGAAGATGGCAAGAAGTGAGCCGGCGGTTAACCTGGTGTTAAGTGATAACCGCACGCCCATGGACATTTGCAACACCCGTAGGATTGCAGGTGCGATGCCACCTTTTAATAGTGGGTCCCGGCTACCTCGCTCACCAGACAAAACGCACAACACAGACAAACTATAACACTTCAACTTTAGGCCTGCCTTATGTGAAGTCGTGCTTCTTACGGACATGCCACAGCGAAAACTGATGCAGCGAACTCTTCCTGCATTGGGTTCAATTTAACCATGGTCCTCCCATATTAATTTGATTGGTGTAACCTTGGACTCGGGAGATACCTAAGGGATCAAATTGAATAAAAAGTAGGTAAAGTTATCCTCCGGCTATTATACCTAATATCTCTGCAAGATATCCATATTAATGTATGTATACAGCGTGTCGGTACCATCTCGACAATAAATGAACACACGTCTGACGCTACTTACCAATAATCAAAAAAATATTAACGTATAACATAATCCATAATTAAAAAAAATATTTTTCAAACTAATTAATAAAAAAAGAAACAAAATTTGTAACACCTATACAACTCGCGCCACAGCGTCGCATTACAAGCCTCTCCTTCTAACAGTATGTTTTCTCTCTTTTAAATTCATTCAACCCATTCATATGCTTTGTGACCTTTACAAATGAACTTTAAGTTACGCTTTTATAGGTAAGGGTGTTCTAAAATTCATTGTTTTGGAAAATTTTATAACTCTGTAAATATTGATGTTTAAAGACTGTAAATGCTTAATACAACTTTAAAAAGTTATCCCCTATATGTGTGTTCATTTATTGTCGCGATGGTAACGACACGCTGTATATGTATATTAAAGTGTATATGTAAAGTAATACTTATTGTATCGTTTAAAAGTATTGTATCCTAGAATTATATTATGTGTTATATTTTTATATTTAATAATTATGTATTTTTTTTAGTTTATAACTGTGTTTGTGCACCTACCTCAAATTCTCAGTACCACCCTAAGGTTGACTGGTAGAAAATGCTATCAGCATTAAGTCCGACTATGTACTGTTTTGTGCATGAAGTTTAAAAATTAATAAATAAATATTATAAAATTTATTTATTATAAATGGAGAGGAATCACGGTTTTATCTCGGTACTGTTTTATTTCATGTGTTTTTTTAACATTAAGTCAGATTTATATTTAAAAGAATGCATTGCATTCGTTGCAATTCAAAAAGGCGTAATTACACACCAGCTTTATTTTCACTTGTATAGTAGAGTCATATTTACTTCTTGTTTTCTCATATAATATATGAAATGAACGAATAGAAAGACTGGATTTACATTATAAGGATGGAGGCGCCTTGACTTAACTTCCCATTTTTTTACTCATCTTAACGATTATGATGAGCAGTACAAAATTACATCAATTCTGACTCATTTTTTTACGTGTTAGAATTTTATGACGCGCTTGAAACAGCTCCATAAGTTCATAAGTACTAAGTCTAGAACGTACGGTATGGTTTTAAAAAGGTACTTAAGCAATGCATAGTGAAAACCTCCTCAACTCCAATTCAGTACTTCTTCATAAAACCGGCCAAGTGAGAGGGAGACTGGCGCACGCAGGGAAGGGTTTCCGTAAACGGCAAAAAAATCATGTCTGTTGTATGGGAGTCCCACCCAGATATTTTTTATTTTGATTTTTAGTATTTGTTGCTATTGTGGCTAGAGAAATACATCATCTGTGAAAATTTAAATTGTCTGACTATCACAGTTTATGAGACACAGCCTAGAGACGGTTCTACCCTTTGGGTACGGAACCCTAAAAACTAGAAATGTAAGTATTCGTACTTTATGATATGAATTTATCCGTTTAAAAGAAACCTAAATTTTAATGTTTTGCCGGTTTCGCGTTTTCCCGTATTCATTTTTCTTCCTTTCTTTGGTTTAGAATTGACGCCCTTACAATGGCGGCCATCTTGGCTCCTTCCTGACGTCTATGCTTTTTAAGCGAGTTAGACACAAGTGATTCATGCATCCGTCCCTTTAGTTTCATGAATTGGTCCATTGATTGGCTTTTGTTCGCTTATTGGTGCGCATAAATAACCACGTGACTCAACTTTCCGGCGGCGTTCTGCATTATGTATTTTTTTATTTCGTACATTTATATTTTACTGATTGCTGCTAGATATATAAAATACTTCCTATGTCTGTCTAGTTCACTCGTTCGAAATAAAATGTTGAATCGTACAATATATCTTATTAGAATGAAACAATTTCATCATCCTCCCGCCCTTGTCGCACGTGAACGATGTTGTCAGGCCAAAGCCTGACATCAACCTCCTTTGCAACAGACACCAAGACTCGGAAAAACGACCTTTGGTCACACAAATACTGGTCCCATGTGGGAATCGAACCCACGATCCCCGCCGCCGAAGTTGAGCTTAGAAACATCGACTCACCGCGAGTGAAACAATTTACTGAATTAATATCCGAATAACGTTCAAACGCTTCTGAAACTTGGGAATTTAGATAGGTGCCGTTGTAAATTTCCGAGTTTATAGTAGGCAGAGAATTAGCATAACAAACGAACGTCAAACACTCGCCGGAGACGATTCAGTCTACGATAAACGTTTTGGCGCTGCTTCCTTGTACCGTTTATGCAGATTTCGTACCGCGAGGCTGTCATCGTACTGACAAGGTCGCGAGCAATTGTGTACAAGCGTGTTTTCACACAAGATCTGGAAGTCGAACCTTGGGGGACACTTCCGTGTACTTTACTATTTAAATGGAATATTGTGTTTCAACAGTTTGCATGCTCTAAAGCATCGATATAATAGTATACGCTCCAAAGTGTAATGGTCTGGCAAAGGTCCGACATTTTTCAGTGGTACACGAGAATAGTTTATTGCATTTTTTTACAACTTTAGAAACTGGCGGGCTCAAACTCAACATAAGTTCAACGCATATTATCGTTATGAACCGTATTATTATATTTTGTTCACATATATATAACTAATGTATCTATATAGAGACTAGCTGCTGCCCGCGACTACGTCTGCGTAGAGGGGTGAAAATTTAGGG